AAGTCCCTCACTTCCTGGCAAATCTCATACCTTCTTCATTCCTCAGTTTGTCCATCTGTAGAATGGGCAGACTAATAGCTCCCGCCACCTAAGTTTGCTAGAACCATCCAGCGTGTTGAGACACAGAGAGCCCTTGGCACGCCGCCAAACCTCAGTAAGTGTGAACCAGAAACCTTAAAAATCAATGGTGGTGTTTTCATTAATGGTATTAAAAGCTTTGTGGAAGGAGGTCTGTAGATGTAGGATATTTACTGAGTGTCCACTGCGTTCTCAGGCCTGAGGAGGGCTCTAGGGTACCCAGGGGGCAAGAGAAGTCCTCAGGTCCATGGGCAGGAGGAGGCCAAGTTCATTGGAGGTGCTTGGGGCAGAGGCCCAGAGTTCAGCACCGTGGACAGCACTTGCGCTGCGGGGCGCCGGCGGCAGGGGATAAAATGTTGGCGTTTCTTTGATGAACCACTGTTTAATGAGCGCGTACTGTATGGCAGTGGTTAAGAGCTAAGGCTGCTAAACAAAGGGTCGGCAGTTCGCATCCACCAGCCGCTCCTTGGAAACCCTATGGGGCAGTTCTACTCTGTCCTATAGAGTCGCTGAGTAGGAATAGACTCGACATCAACGGGTTTGGTTTTGGTACTGTATGCAACGCCTCGCTCTAAGTGCCACATGGTAAACAACGCAAACAAAAATCCCTGATCCCTGGAGCTGCCTGGAGCTCTAGGTCCTTAGTGTTATTGTATATACACGGAAGGATGAGTCTCCGTTTATCCTCCCAGATGCAAAGCCAGCGGGGCCAAGGTCCTTCATAACTAAGCCCAGCCGTCTCCCGCTGAAAGGTCCGCCACCAGCATCACATACGGAACGCTCAAATATCCTAGAATCTATTTCTGGATTCTCCGTGCCTCTCTACCCCCCGCATGCCAAAGCCATGCTGATTGGGTTATGGGCTTCGAGAATGTTCTGACATTCTCCTTGAGCAGGTCCCGTGGGTGGGCTTGCTTCCCTTGATGGCTGGATGCCCCTCAAAAAACAGGCAGGTTAAGGACCAGGTGCCCCAAGACAGGAGTCCACCTCCAGGGTCGTTCAGATCAAATGAGAAAAATAATGATAATAATTACCGTGATAATAATATTAGCAGTGTTAATAATAATAGTAACGAAAGTAATAATGGTGAAGAAGAGAAGATGGAAGAGGAGGGGAGAGGGAAGGGGAGGGGACTGAGGCGAGACCGGTCGGATTTCCCAGAAGCGGAAACTGAGGCCCAGCTGGAGGCAGCGCCTTCGGGGTCGCGCAGTGCGCCCCCTCGCCGTCTCTGGCTCTGCTGACAGGGGCCCAGTGAGAGCGGAGGCCGAGCAGGCGATGGCCGGGCGTGACGCTGTGTGTCCGCGTGGGCTCCAGAGACGCCCCCGCAACCCCGCCTCGCCACTCCCCGCCCCCCTCCCCGCCGTCACGTCACTCACGCCCGCTGCGTCCACGTTATAAATAGTCTGGCTCCTGTGACCGCCCGCGGCGGACGGGGGAGGCGCTTCCGCCCCGGTAACCCCGATACCGCAACTGGAGGGGGAGGGGAAGGGGGAGGGATGTGACGACGACGGTGATGAAGGTGACGAGGACTCGACGACTGGGGCGTTTACAGACAAGGGAAGACCGAGGGGGAGAGGGCCGACCCCGCCCTGAGCCCTCTTCTGCCTCCACACCCCCTCCTCCCATGAGACCACCCGCCCCTCGGTTTCCACTTCCATAGTCCCCTCCCCCACCATGAGCCTCCTCCGGTTCTCAGAGCCTTTCTTCCCCACACCCATCCCTTCTCTTGGTTCACTAACCTTAGCCCCCTCCCTCACCTGAGTTCCATCCCCTAGGACCTCCCTTGAGTCCCTGTCCCCACTCTGAGCCCCTCCCCCTTTCTAAGTCCCATCCCCTCACCGTGACCCATCCCTTCCAGTCTGCCTCCCAATTCTGAGCTCCCTTCCCTGGTTTCCCCCCACTCCCCCCAACTCCCACCCCCGTCAGCCTCCCCACCCCCCTTCATGCCCCCCAGTGGTGCACAAACATTAATGTCCTCCCCTGAGTCTCTGAAGGGGGCTGAGAGCTTGAGCCCTGGCCTTAGCTCTCAAAGGATCA